ATATATATATATATATATATATATAGATAGATAGATAGATAGATACCAAGGTAGAGTGACAGTGTTTACAGTATGTAACAAAATTGACATTCATACACATAGAAACACACACATACATATATGACTGTCAATTTTGTTACATACTGTCAACACTGTCACTCTGCCTTGGTAACAGAGTTTGACAGTAACAGAATAGACACTGACTAATTCGGACAACAAGAAATCATGATTTTCCCCAAAAAGTAAAAAAAAAAAATATATATATATACAGTGGGTACGGAAAGTATTCAGACCCCCTTAAATTTTTCACTCTTTGTTATATTGCAGCCAAGCAAATGGCTGCAATATAACAAAGAGTGAAAAATTTAAGGGGGTCTGAATACTTTCCGTACCCACTGTATATATATATTAGTTACGGCCTGTAACATCTTGTGATCCATGACAATGAGTGACAAATGAATCATATAAATAAGTAAAAATATAACTTTGAAAAAAGCAGAAAAACTATGATAATGACTTTGGACACCAAATGTACCTGCATTTTATAGAATCACCCGTATATATAGGCTATATAATATTTAGTGGTTTTGTTAACGTTAAAAACAACACGAGAATGTTAGCCTACTTTTAAATGTTCCCTAAAATGTTCCCTTCCATAAATGATGTATAAATAATATTTTTGTGCTAATATTTTGAGAACGTTATTGAAGACAACTTTGAATAAACGTTCTATTAACGATACTGGAAGAATGTTTGTTTATAACTCTGAAGGATGTTCTGAGAACGTTCCCTGTTAGATGGGAATCTGTTATGCTTATGATTGCAAGCTGGTGTTTATCATTTTATTTTAATATATTGTCACGGTAGTGCAAATTTACCATTTACTGCACTTTGTTACACTTCTAGTATTAACCTATCGGAAGTCTCACACAGTCAAGGAAAACGGCGTACTTCCACTTTGCAAAATAAGGTGTGTCTATACGCATCAGAAGCGGCTTGTTTGCAGTGTTAGAGGTGGCGTACGTGCAGTGGGGTTGTGGTGCTGAACGGACAGCTCCCTCACTTGAGCACCGCACTACAGGGAGCACCTACAAATATCCATCTCACGCCTTATGTGTACTAATGAGCTTCATCTATTGACTGATTTATTCTCTTTAATTAAAAATGAGCCAATATTCCCATCACTCTCTCCCCACAGCTGAATTCACTGCAATGGACAGCAGGCAGTTTAGAGCCATTACAGGCTGATTCCAAATGAAAACCGAGGCTGGATTTAATTTGTTAGGAGTGATCAGGGAGCGTGCTCGGGTATTGATTGCCTCCGCACAGCACTGGATGTTTTACAGCTTAAAGTCAACACCTGCGTATTACCTCCAGAACACCTCAACGCGCGCCTTTATTCCCGAGTGAATGCACCACTCCCTTTGTTCTACATCGTTTCTAAGACTTGCAAGTATGTGTGAGCGACACAACTACTTTCCGTTATAATACAAAGGTTTTGATCATTCTAATAGCTGCGTTTAGTTTACTTATTAGAGCCTGAGCCACGTGATTATCACATTTGTCGCGTCGCTCTGTGTGGAGAGAGAGAGAGAGAGCGCGAGGAAAAATGGGCGGAGTCACGGTGGAGAGTGGGCGGGGACGCTCACCGTTCCATTACACGGTTCCGTTTCTCCCGGTTGTGTTCAGTGCAGCAGCTGCGAGGATCGGAGAAAACTCTCTCACTCACCCTCCCGTGTCTCGGATACTTTACGGTCCAACGGACGCGCCGCCCGCCCTGTTTCCAATCACCCGTTCGGGAGCGGAGAACCGTCCCGTCTTGAGGTGAGTGAAGCGAATGATGTTATATGAATAGTGTTCGTATAAAATGAAGCCAATTAAAGCAGACGCCAGTGAAGCTCGCACGACCGTTAAAGTCCGTTGTCAGGATTTTCTCCTCGGGGATGATTAATCATATCAGATGGACATATTCATCGGATTTATAATCCATATATAATCCGCGTCCTGCCTGTGAGGCTCTGGAGTTGTTTATTGGATAAGAATCAGACAGTGAGCTTTTTCATATTTTATATTTTGGGCGTGTTTAAAACGAAGTCCTCTCAAACTCAGAAACTAATTTCACCAGCTCTCTTTCTCTCTCTATCTTTCAGATGATGTCGAGTCTCGGTCTGTTCGTGTGTCTGGTGGTTCTGACGGTGTCCGTTACCGGCGGCAGCGACGGAAACCCGCTGGACAATGATAAGTGGATGAGCACCGTGTCCCAGTACGGCAAGAGCAAATACTGGAACAAATTCCGCGACGTGAGTATTTCCGCGTATTTCATTTAGCTGCTGGGACTCTCGTGTGTGTTTTGCTTTCTATATAGAGACCAAATGTCCCCTCAAAGGTCTTGTAGTCATTATAATTAGCTTAATTTAGAACAAAAGTCAAAGGAAGGTCTTTGTGTTTTGTTAGCCTGCTTGGGATTTCTCTAAATATCCCCTGAAGAACAGTAAAGCTGACTGAACATTATTTTTGTTGCCTTTGCCACTAGCCTAAATTGGCAAAATAATTTGTTAATTAAAATCTAAAATGTCAAAAGGTGTATTTTAGGGTTAGGTGTTGTTTAGTGTTTATAATTAACCTTAAAACAATGGATATGTGTATGAGCTTGGCTGTGTTTACATCTGTATACGTTTCCTACTATGTAGTATGCAAGCATAATATAGCTTACAGTTACTGGTATATAGTATTTTTGTGCTTTTTCAGGTGAATATATTACTGTCAAGAAATGGTAGAGGATGAATATGCACACTTTCTATATAGTATGCAAACAGCAGTTTGTCTGAATACATAATAGCATAGGAGCTGTCAGATTTGAAAAGCTGAATAATAATAATAATAATAATAACAAAATGGCAGGGAACTGTGAGAGAGCTTTTCAAATATACACTAGTGCTGTAGATATCAAGAAAGTTGTTAGTTGTGGTTAAACTTGTACTTGTTTTATGATTTTTGTACCAGGGCCATAAAGTATGGAAGCTTGTTTCTGCCATGGGATAAAAAATAAAAAAAGGTAATTGTGACATTTTATCTCGCAATTCTGTGGAAAAAACTCACAATTGTTGTGGAAAAAAAGTAAGAATTGTGAGACAAGAATTCACAATTGCCATTTTTTAAATTCTGTAGTTAAAAAAACAAAACAATCGCAGAATTTTGAGATGTAAACCCAGAATTCCGACAAAAAAGTCAGAATTGTGAGGAAAAAAGTAATAATTCTGATTTTGTATCACAATTATGACTTTTTTTTTCTTAGAATTGGGAAGTGTGAGATAAAAAGTTGCAATTAATATTTTTCATTCCGTATCAGAAACAATAAAACAGAATTGCGAGATGTAAACTCAGAATTCTGAGAAAAAAAGTGTGAAAAAAGAAGTCAGAATTCTGACTTTAAATCTCGCAATTATGACTTTTTTTCTCAGAATTGTTAAAAATGTCTGAATTGTGACAAAACATTGCAACAAAAAAACAAAAAAAAGAATTGCGAGATTTCCGAATTGAGAGACAATTCCAAAAAAGAAAAGCCTAAAATTTTAGATAAAAAGTTGCAATTACATTTTTTTTATCCCGTGCCAGAAACATGCGTACATAATAACCACCTTAAACACAGAGGAATCTGATTTTGCAGGTTTTCAATACCTAGATTCATAAACGAGCACAAACTTTAGTATGCAATCAAAGTATGCCAGTTGGGATGCAGCCCGTGTGCAGCGTGCATGTGTTGTGTAATCCACACCGGAGAGACTGAGATCTGGAAACTAAGCACCTGTCCATAAGTGTGTTCAGAGGGTCTCAGCTGTGGGATCCATATGAGAGCGAGATTCGGAGGCTCTTTATATGGATGAAGTGATTGCAGGAGGTGAAATGAAGAGTCTCTTCATGCCTCTCTCTTTCGCTATGCATCTCTCTCTCCTCTCATTCTTTATCTCTGCCTCTCTTTCC